AAATGTTGGGCTCAAGCGCGCAGGCTTGAGGTTTAGTGTTTGATCTAGCTTGTTACTTAGGTGGACCCCCCACCAAGTGACTACAAGGCATAATGGTGATTATGTCAGGGTCCTCTTAGATGCCTGTTAAACCACTATTACAGAGTGGGGGGTCCACCTAACTTGTTACCGTGTGGCATTTAAGGCTTATGAAGCTGAAGGTCCAAGGCTTCAGCGCTGAGCACAATGCTCTGAATACGTTGACTGTTTATAGACCTTATACAAGCCAGAAAGGACTCCTATAATCCCCGGATAGTCTCCATAAATGGGGTTTCCCAAACTTGGGACTCCGTTTTTGAAGTGGTTCCCATAATAAGAAATCTAGCATTGTGATGTCTGTATTGGGTTTAGAGTTCAGTGTTTAGGGTTTAGGGTTCCCTCTATTTGGCTGTGGATCATTTTTGTGGCGGAGCCCCCCCGAATTCATGTGGCATACCCATTTGTCCCAGCTTGATGTTACATACCTTTGTCGCGAACGCTTGGTACATGTATGCTCCACAACAAGGCGTCGTCGCAGGGGAGTTTGTCGCAAACCGAGCAATTCTGTTACAAGCCTATGTTGCGGAATGGCCGCCCAAGCCCGTTGCAAACCCAGTGTTCTTGATTCGCAGCCATTTATGGAAGCTACAATATACCTCGAAACCCTAAACCCCATCACCCTACACGTGAAAAAACCCTATACTTATAGCCCCTAAGGGCACCACATCTTGAAAAATCTGCCATAGGGGCAATGGACTTAACTCTGCAGCTTCCCTCAACCCAGTCCTAAACCCTAAGCCGTAAACTACTGAGAGGATGTTGGTAACCCCAACTCCCAAAATTAGGACCCTCATGAGTCCGTATCAAGGGGGTTGGGGCTACCCGAATTCGCTTCGGCTTATTACTTGCTTTTGGGTAGCTAGCAATGAAGGCATGGATCCTTTTCATTTCCCTATATAACCCATCATAGTAGTTTCCATTCTCTTTCCCATTCCTTCGAAACCCTAAACCCTACACCCCAAACCCTAAACCATAAACCCATTGTAGTAGTTTCTATTTTCTTTTCCATTCCACCGTACACCCCAAACCCTAAACCCATTGTAGTAGTTTTCATTTTCTTTTCCATTCCTTCATTCCCAGCTAACTAAAAACAAGATTAGCAACCTTAGACCCTCAACCCTCGGCCTGGATGCGTCTTGAACGGTTTGAGGGGCTTGGGGTGAAGGTAGGTTGCGGGTGTTTTTCAAGATAAGCGCCCCCTGGGAGCCTAGGCTTAGGGTTGAGGGTTTAGGGTTTAGGGTTCAAACATTTGGGGCCTCCAGAGAACCCTGCAAGGCCACGCTTGTCCGTTGGATTCCGGTCCTGGGCCTGAGGGTGCGAGACAGGTGCTCTAAAATCACAAACCTCAACCCCTGAACCCCTAGACAAAGGTTAGGTTTAGGGTTCAGGGTTTTCCTTCAACCCCCAAACCCCAAACCCCCACACCCTGAGCATGCAAACCCTGATACCCTAAACCCTAAACCCAAAGCCAGACCACGGCCACCGCCACCGGCGTCAGCCATCTCTCTCAACTCAGGCGGAATCCTCAGCTGCGCAGGGAGGACTCAGAGAGTTACCTTGGGTGTAGGCCTAAACCCCTAAACCATTACACCCTGAACCCTAAACCGCAAGTTTAGGATTTAGGTTTACTTTTCAGGTGTAGGATACTGGGGGTTTAGGGTACTGGCCTTCAGGTGTTTAGGGCTAGGGGTTTAAGTCTTTGGGGAATCAAGGTTCGGAAATTCAGTGGCTTTTATGGGATTAGGGCGTAGGCTTTTTTTGAGAATTGGCTAGGGCCTCCCGAAACCCTAAACCCTAAACCAAGTCCATAGCTCAAGGTTCAGGTTTTAAGGATTTCGGGCATACGACAAGGGCTGTAGGATTCCTGGTCTAGGGTCTGAACGAAGTGGTGTCACGTCTGGGACCTGCTAGCCTGAGACCGTAGCTTCCAGATCTACGTTAAAGGGATTTGGGTTGAGGGCTTAGGGTTCAGGGCCTAGTGCTTGGGATTTATGGCTTGGGCTCCCCATGAGCGTCCCTGTATCTCCCCGCCCTCAATGAACCCTAAACCTAAACTCTAATCTTAGACCCTTAAACCCTTAAACCCTGAACCCTAATCTTACACCCCTAAACCCTGAACCCTGAACCTTACTCAGCCCCCAAGCCCCCCTCGACCTCTGATATGCAGCTGGCCCATACACTAAGTAACAGTCCTTAATTTAGCAGGGTTTAGAATGCCGGGTAGCTGTAGTACGAGGCACTAGCGCTATTGATAAGTGTAGTTCTAGGCGGCTTTAGGATGTCAACCCGAAACCCTAGATCCGAAAACCGTTCCATATTCGTCTGGGAAGGGATAGAATTCTCCTGCTCTTGCCAAGTTTCTCTTGGCCCGCCTTCTCCTTGGCTGCAAGAAAAATCATCATCAGGATTTCTGGTTGTTTTTAAGGGCTCACCTCAATGCGTCTAGAGTCTAGGGGACATTCTGGATGAGTGGTATCAACCACAACTACATTTTCCACAACCACTGCTACGGCAAGTTCTTTTGGAAGCCCAAATCACATTCATGCATTGTATCCTCATTGCTCATATACATTGCCTACAGGAACTTGTGTTTCAAGCCTTAACGATCTCCATGCATTGTGTCCCTCATTGATGATCGAATACTTGCGCTAGAGGCCCAAGCCACATCGAGCTGCCTACAACAACTCAAGGGTCGACAACATTAACACCCTAGTGGAAGCCTTTCATGAAAACAAGTTGTAGTCCAAAACTACGGCTGGCATTTGTGCCATCAGATCCTTCGGTTATGCTATCATGTGTTATTGGCTTTCTCAGTTGCAGTATCCACTGATCGCGTTGGGGTATGCACAAACATTGATTTCCTACCTGAATCCATATCCCCTGCCCTTTTGTGGCAATTAATACGTTTAACTTGTACCTTCTATATACGCAGGTACGTACCCGAAAAAGACTGGTAGGGTATCAGGGTCTAGTTAGGGTTCAGGGCGGGGCTAAGGGAAAGCTGTACAGAGTCCACAAAGGGCGGTCGACATGAGTTGTGTACGAAGTAAGGACGCAACGTTGGCAAAACAAACCTAATCTTGGTCCACATTACCCTAGGGAGAAAAAAGGATCCTTTTTTCCTAAATATAAGGAATCCCATACCCCAAAAAGTAAAAAGGATCCCTAACATTGATCCAGTAATGGGGAGTTGTTGAATTTATGGTCCTTACCCCTGGGGCACCCTAACTTTCAGGGACTGTAGTATTTTAGGGTTTAGGGTTTAGGGTTTAGGGTTTAGGGTGTATGTTGGGGACTCAGAAAGAGGCCATAACATTGACAGATGATCTAAATACCCCTTTGAGTGACTGTCTGCAACAAATAATCGATTAAGCCCGTGCTATTTCCCCGGTGGATCGAGGACATTTTGCATGACCTACTTGGAGGGTCAGGGGGACTTAGTAAATGGGTTCATAAAGGGGATAAATAGGGTTACTATATATGGGTTATAGATTATAGGGGTTACTAACCTACTTACTAAGTCCCCGTGACCCTCCAAGTAGGAACCCCATAATACCTCATTCCTTGAGTATAGAGTATCAATCTTCATCCACTGCCTAGTTCTAAACTCTGGCGGTAAACTGCACGAATTCAAAGATCAATTTGAGGAGGACCAGAAAACGAATCGCGAAGCCAGGTCCGGTTCGGGTTCAGGGTTCATAGGGTCTTGGGATCCTTTTTATACCCTTTACTTGTTTTTTGTGATACCAGAGCCATTTAGACTAAAGTGTTCGGCGCCCTATCCCCCATCTTTGGGCAACTGAAGTCTGAGGACTACAGGACTTGGGGTCACAGGACAAACATAAAATCCTAGACTCCACGCCTCAAACCCCTAGCCCTGCTCTCCAACCCTGCCCCCCAAACCTAAGCCCTAAACCCTAAACCCTGAGCCCGAAGCCCTGAAGGGGAAAATCTGGCACTACTCGAAATCCCCAATAAAAGTAAGTCCGAAGATCTGAAGTACATATTAGGTGGACACCCCACCCTGCAATAGTGGTATAGTACTTGGACTATAAGAGGACCCTACTATGATCAACAGTATCCCTTATCGTCACAATTACTGGGTGGGGGGTCCACCTCAGGTATATAAGGTGGTGCAAGATTTCTTCCATCCACTGTATGATGGCTTCCCGTAATGGCCGAGAGTCCATTGACCGCATCACCTAGCGCACAAATGCCAGGATCCAAGGTGTTCAGGGTTTTTGCAAGATGGGAGCTACGGTAGATACTGAAATCCTGCATGACCCCTAGGACCTTACATCTAGGGAACCATGGCACTTTAGTCTATGAAGGTCATGCAGGATTTAACGTATCCAGGGGAGGGGCCCCTGATATGGGCTAAACCCTATAAACCCTAAACCCTATAAACCCTAAACCCTAGGATATAATAAGGCCCATGGTTAGGACCTTGGACTTGTGAGAGTCTGGGGTTTAGGGGTGAACGCGTTTTCGGCTTTGCGGGCTCGCAAGTTGAAGCTTCAGGGTTTAACGTATAAGGGTTTAGGGTTTAGAGTACACGGTTTAGGGTCTAGGGTACAAGGCGTAGGTATTGGGTTTACAGGCCAGGGTTTTAAGGTGGAGGGTATAGGGCTTTCAGGGCTTTAGGGTGTCATGGAGAACCTGTCAAGGAGTCCGAAGGGCAAGGGACGTCAAGGCTGCTGTGGCGTCGCAGCTATGATAGGGTGTAGCAAGCCAACTTGGAGGGTCACGGCGATTCCGTGAATAAGTTGATAATGGCGATATTTGGAGTCATTATATGGCCAATAGGGGCTATCTATGTACGTACTAAGTCCCCTGACCCTCCAAGTAGACGCTTTGCAGCCCAGAGATCACCTCCAGCACATGGTGCACGGTGGCTGCGGGACTCCCTGCTCTTGATACAGGACAGGGGGTGGCGAAGAATCTCCTCGGCGACCCGGAGAACGAGACTGAGGCGAAATTCGAGTGGAGGAGCAATGGCCGGGCAGCAAGGGGCAAGAGCCTGCAACATTTGGGTTTGTTGTTGAAGCTGCGCTCCTGTTTCTGCCGGCGTGCTGTGAACCATGATTGGAAGAATGCAACCCGTATCGGGGAAGCGTCACACCCTGGACCCAATGGGGGAGGCGCAAGGGCGACAGCCAGACGTCGCCAAGAAAATGAGCAAGATGAGGTGGATGAGGAGGCCGACAACGGCATGGGTGGCATGGGAGGCTTTGCCGACATGCTACGACCGCTCATTGAGAAGATGATCAAGCAGATCCTGGAAGAGATCTTGGGTGGAGGCGCGCTGAAGCAGATGGTGGCTGGAATGCTGACTACGTCTTCGGCGGGCTCTTCGGCGGCACTTGTTGAGGGTGACATAGTGCAGGCGAAGGGCGCGGGCAAGAACAAGCGAGTTGAGGGAGATCCACATGTGGAAGGCAAGGGCGGACATCAGCAGCGATGGAACAAGCGTGGCAAGGACCATGATGGTGGTGGTGGAGATAATGCTGGTCAGAAGGGCTCTGACAAGAAGGATGGTAATGGCGGAGGAAGTGCCCCAGGCAAAGGCAAGGGCAAAGCCTCTGGCAAGGATGGAGGATCCGGCGATGGGACCAAGCCCGCTGGCAAGGGCGATGCGAAGGCCCAGGGCAAGACCAGGAGCAAGGGCAAAGCCCAGCAAGGTGAGGATGATGGAGATTGGACCCAGGTTGTGCGCAAGACCGCTGGGGAGTGGCAGCTGCGTGCAACTGATTGGTCGGACCCGGTGGTCAGCTATGACGACTTGGTGGCGAAGGCGACGGGCGAGGGCGACTTGGTCCGGGCCATTGCTGTCTTGAATGAGGAGCAGAAGGAAACGGTGCTGAGCCTGTATCGTGGCAGTGGCAAGGCACATGCACTCTTGATTGTTGAGCTGAAGCAGAGCCCTGATGCTGAAAGATGCCCAGGGGCTATTGGAGGTCGTCTTGTTTTCCGGCAGGCTATCTTCACGAGAGCTTTCTCCCCGGGGCTGCAGGCCCCGCAGCCGAAAGTCAAGGCCCCTGGCTGTAAGGTCGAGGTCCTGAAGAGCTCGGTCGTCCTTGTGCGCTTTCTGCAGAGATATCTTGACAAAGATGCTTGGACCCAGATCGTCAAGCAGCCGCAGCGAGCCTTGTTGGATCATCTTGCCAAGTTCAGGCTCAAAGCTATGGACTCTTGGGGTTGGGCAGTGGAACCAGTTGCTGGAGGTGTTGGACAGCAAGTGTTCGGCAAGCGCAGGCTGGCTGACAAGGATATTCCGACTTTGTTGGCATCCAGTGGGCGTTCGGCCTTTTTTGAGCCAAGCCGTAGTTTTGACATGGGCCCAGTTGTGACTGAGTGGCAGCAGCAGCAGGACGACGAGACGCCTGGGGCTTACCTGGCTCGTTGCTTGACCTTGCCCGCAGACTTTGGGTTGGTCTCTGGCCGCAAGCAGCTTGGCAAGCGGATGAAGCATGATCCCAGTGTCCCGGTGCAGCGCATGTGGCAGGTGCAGATGGTGCCTGGCATGGTCACAGTGGAGCAGCTGACGAATGTCCTTGGCCAGGTTTTCACAGACGTTGAGGTCGTCCATCAGCGCAGGCGGGGCAATGCTCGAGACTGCATTTTTCGAGATTACATCTTCCGCGGCAAGACCACGGAGCAGGCTGATAGCATGGCGTTGCCGTTGACCTACGGTGATGAGGAGCTCGTGCTTTGGGTGCGTCATGCACCCCTCAGGCAGGGACATAGGCAGGCCCAGGAGATTAAGACTTCGGGGGCATGGAGCCTCTTGGGGCCAAAGCCTGCCTTTGCCAGTGAACCTCGGGCCGGGGTGCCTGAAGCATCTGAAACTGGAGATGGGGAGACTGCCGGTGATGACAGCTTGGAGGGCGGCGCCGACAAATCCACCAGTAAGGACGGTGCTGCAGCAAAGAACGAGAAGAAGGAGGAGAAGAAGGATGAGGTCAGCAAGCGTGGAGCCCCGGCAACTGGACCAGCAGCGAAGCGAGTTGCTAGTAGCCAGAGAGCCCTCCCGGAGGGGGCGAAGGTGGTGCACATCGACAAGGATGGCAATTGCATGTTTGCAAGCTTGGCGAGAGGCATCAATGACTTGAACCCGGATGCGTCCCACAAGCTGACTGCTGCCGAGGTCAGGGCGAAGATCGCGGTGCACTTGCGTAAGAACGAGGCGAACTACATCAAATCCTGGGACCAGGAGATGCCGGACAGGACCAAAGCGGAAAGCTGGAAGAAGTACATCGAGGCCGTTGAGACCGACAAGGTCTGGGGTGGCCTCACTGAGCTTCGTGCTGCATGCCGAGTGTGGGATATTCGGTGCATTGTGTTTCCTACCAGCGAGTGCATTGAGCCCTTCCATCTTCATGGCCAGGCCAAAAAGCGAGTGGTTGCCCTCTACTTCACGGGCCACCACTATGACCTGCTGCAGGGCGATAACGGAAGCCTTCCTAAGTCCATTCTCGGCATCAAAGGTGCACCTGAGGAGGTCCCTTTGAGAGGCGGAGGCGAAGGAGATGCTGCCTCGGTGTGGACCCGATCCTCTCGAGGCAGAGCTGGTGCTTCAGTTGCTTCTGCGTGGACTTCTGTGGCGGGTGCTAGCGCCGCATCGGGAGGAAGCGGGCATCTTCAGCGTCCCCGGCCGGCGGCATCAGTGTCGAGACCTGTTCCCTCAAAGCGCTCTTCGGCGACTTCGGAGGCCTCTGCATCCAAGGCGTCTGCTTGGACTCGGAGTGTGGGTACGCGTGTGGAACCCAAAGCCTCAACTTCTGGGTCCAAGACTCGTGACAGATGTGCTGCTGGGTCAGCTGGGGCCACTATCGCTGCCACTCCTGCTGGAAGCCGGGGGACATAGGCACATCGACTACACTGCTCCTGGTAGCTGCCATCAGCCTGGATGGCAGGGTTGCGGGAGCCTCCACGATTGTAGTAATCAGCCAAGCAACGGGGCCCACCCCTCTGAGGCTGCTTCTCATCGCCAGACTCTTCATCAGTGTCCGTGATATCGCCGCCCTTGTTGGACGCACAGGCCATGCTTTGGCCATCAAGCGGTCGCAGCACAACAAGCGATGGCACCCTGGACTTCCTCGCGACAAGGGCCACACGATGCGCACCTTGGGAGCTGATGAATCGGCGGACTGGCGCTGTCCACTGTGTGATGTGGGTATACCGGTGGGCAAGCGTGCAGCCTGCTCAAGACAAGCCTTCCGGAAGGGCAAGGACAAGCATCGCCGCCAGGCGCATCGCCACTTGTCTGCGGAGGCATATGCGAAGAGATGCCGCAAAGCAGGTAGCCAAAAGGTCCCCTACAGGATGAAGAGGCGAGTCCAGATGTTGAATGAGAGCCGGGCTGCAGCAAGGGAGAACCTGACCATAGATGGGATGGTCACCTTCACGTGGCCAAGGATGTGGAGCAGGAAGACAGGTGGGAAGTGGCATGCGAGTGTGGTGTGCAGAACCGCGTGGAGGTGCCGTGCGTGCACTGGGTGCTGGACCTATCCCGGCCTGGCGCGGAAGCATAAGTGCCCGGCGCCAAACAAGGTGGAGGTGCGGGTCAAGCATCTTCGTGAACTGCGGGCAAAGGCTGGCACTTTGGAGCATGGGATTAATCCTGCGCTGCTGAATCGCACCATCGACTCTGCCATTGCTTGTGTTTCTGGCGGCGACCGTCTGCCGTCATGATCAAGGTGTCCACTTTGAACATCAATCGGGCTGGGGCTGCCAAGGTTCACTGGCTTGCTGACCTCCTGTTCGATGTGGACTTCAATGTTGACATTTTGGCGGTCCAGGAGCTGGACCTTATGGAGATCTCGGCGGTGACCTTCGTCGAGATCCTCAAGAAGCGGAGCGCGCATGTCTTTCTTGGAGGTTGTGAGGATGGAGTGTATAGATGTGCCATCTTATCCAAGTTTGCTGGTGCCCGTGTTGACCTCCGGCATGACCGCTTGGCTGGGGCTGCGTTTGAGTTTCGTTGCAATGGGAAGTGGTGTACAGTGACTGTCGCTTCTTATTATGGCTGTGTCTCTGATGCTGAGGCTGCTTTGAGTGGCGTGGAGCACGCTGTACAGGAGCTGAAGAAGTGCCAGAATGCATGGATTTTGGTGGGCGACTTCAACCTTGAAGCTTTGGAGGAGCCGCTGGCTGGGGCGCTTGCACGGGGCGTGGCTTGGTCTTGGGATGAGCCTTTCCAAGGAGCCGAGCTTTTGCCTGGCACCCGCACATCAGGCCGTCGTATTGACTTTGGACTGGGCTGTGGCCGGTTTTTCCCTAAGTCTGTGTCGCAGCGTTGGTCCTTTTCTGATCACGCTCAAGTTGCGTATGAGGTGGACTTGGATGCGCCTAATGGACATCGGGGGCCATCTTTTCGGCCATTGGCGGCCAAACCCGTTACCGAGCAGCAATGGCTTTCATGCTGGAATGAGGATTCGTTTGCACGAGCTTTGGAGGTGGAGCAGCTGGATGAGGCGTGGACTCTCATTTCCAATACGGCGGAGGACTTGTTGGCTGAGCCTGGCGCCCATGGTCAACGTCGAGCACAGCAGTGGCGACCTCTGCCTCGCTTACATGACCGAAGCAAGGCGGCCACCTCACTTGAGCCGCTGGCTTTGGTTCAACTGAGGAGGTTGCTGAGGCGACTGTGTCAACTTCGGCGACTACCTTGTGACCAGCGACTCCGCGCTAAGGTGGGCAACCAAATTTGCGCGCTTCTACCTAAAGCACCGTGGCTGGATGCCATCCCCTACTTTGAGATGGAGCACTGGACCTCATGGATGGAGGAACGTATAGCTGAGGAGGAGGAGACGCAGAAGAAGGCGGCGATAGCTGGCTGGCGCTGCCGTATCGAGTCGTCAGGGTCCCACATGGTATCATGGATTCGTCGGCGGGAGCAGGCTCATGCTGTCTTTGAGCGCCCCAGGTTGAAGCCGGAGGAGGTGAGCAGGTGCGTTGCCACGCACCCGGTCCACATCGTCGAGGAGGCTACTACATCGTGGATGCGGCGGTGGGGCTCCAGCTCTGAGACTGGATCTGTGGATCAGGTCCTGGCCTCCCATCCGCGAATTGACGAGGACTCTTGGGACATGCGCTTCAAGGGCGAGGACTTGCTTAGAAGTGCTCAGGCCATGGCCCGTAAGGCGGCTGGTCCGGATGGCTGGGACTGCAGCGGCTGGATCTGTATGCCAGCTGGCTTTTGGGACTGTTTCGCGAGACTCTGGCAGAAGGTGTTGAGCACGGGGCTTGTTCCACAACGGTGGAGGGAAGGTCGAGTGGTTTTGGTCCCGAAACCGACTTCTGGACATCGACCTCTGACGATCCTGTCGTGCGCTTGGCGGCTTGGTGCGCGTCTCATCGTGCAACAATTGGCTTCCTGGATTGACAAGTGGGCCCCTTCGGGTCCTTGGCGGTGTTGCTGGCCGTGGCCTTAAGGATGCCTTTTTGCGAGTGGTGGACTCCTTGGATGATGACTGCTACTACCTGCAAGAAGACCTTTCCAAGTTCTTCGACACGGTGCGACTCTCGGATCTGATTGCCACCCTTCGGCACTTGGGATGTCCGCGCCAGCTCCGTGATCTTGTGAATTGCTTTTACCAGGACCACCGTCGCGTCTTCAGCGTTGACGGGATGATGGGAACTGCGTGGCATTGTGTTCACCGAGGTGTTGCACAGGGATGTCCCTTGAGCCCGGTGCTTACGGCGGCTGTGATGGCCATCTGGTCCTCAGAGGTTGAAACCGAATCTGCCAACCAGGTCTGCTCGATGAGCTTTGTCGATGACCGACTGCTTTGGTGTGGTGAGGTGGAGACCCTCCGTGAGGCTAAGCGGCGCAGTAATGCCTTTGACAGGGCATACGACCTCAGTTGTGATGTAGCTAAAAGTCGGTTCGTGCACTGCCATGCGTCCGAAGAAGCCGAGAACTTTCAGGAGGAGCTGGGCTACGAGTTCAGTGATGTGCTCTCGTTGCTTGGGTTGGTGGTCCCAGTTGATGGATCTGCTGCACCGTCTTTGAAAGACCTTGACATCCACTTGGTGAAGAGGCGCATCTACCTCATTGGCATTGCTGCACGTGGCCTTGAACTTAAGAAGCGGATGCTCCAGATGATGGTGATCCCCATGCTCACTTGGGCTGGCGGCTTTGCCACTGTCACTGAGGCCGATATGGAAGAACTGGTGCTTGCGATTCGTCAGATGCTCCATAAGGACTTGGCGATGGACACGCCCCCGGTGTTGTGCTACGAAGTTGCGGGCTGGGACATCCAGCCTGAGTTCGCCCGTGCGCTTGCGGCACTGCGGGAGGCTGCGCGGCATCAAGGCCGTGAACCACCATGGTTGGAGGATGCGCCGATTCGCCTGGCTGTGAAGAAGTGGCCGTCCCTGCTTCCGGTGACAGTTTCCGTGCTGGAAGGCTTGGGCTGGTGGTGGGATCCTGGCGGTCGTTTCCTTCATCGACGTGATTCCCAGGGCCGGGTTCGCGACCTTGAATTGGGGGTGGACTCCTTTGAGATTGTGGCTGAGTGGCTGCGGGATGTTTACAGGCGGCGTTTTCTTGGCAGCTGCTCGCGAGTGGCTCGGTCGCGCAAGCGGCAGGAGGAGGATCAGGGTCTTGCTCAAGGACTTTTTCTTCCAGGCCCGGCGCCGGGAACTTTGGCAACCTTTGAGGGCCATAAGTGGGCGTGGCGAACTGCAAAGAACACTCTGGAAAGGCGCTCCGCCTTGGTCACGGGTTGCTCCACGTGGTACAAGCAAAAGAAGTACCAGCAGCGGCATCCTGAACTTCCAGATTGTATGTGCGGGCAACGGCGCCCCTCGCGACCACATCTTTTGTGGAACTGCGAGAGGACGGCGGATTTGATTGCGGAGGTTGCTGCGCCCACCAACAGAATGGAGGAGAGACTACTTGCACGTGGGGTCCCGGAGGTGCCCCTGCCTCCGACAGTCCTGAACTACGATGTGATGATCGACAGCGTTGCCGAGGCTTTTGACGCGAAGCTCTCAGCTGGCAGGGCGGTCTTCGTGGCCACGGATGGCAGCGTGGTGGACACGGTGGCGGCGTGGGCGGTGGCCTTTGAGGAGGACTATGTTTTCTCTCTCAATGTCGGCGATGAGGATCAGACTCCCTTCCGTGCAGAGGTGGAAGGCCTTGTGGCAGTTGCTCGTGCTTTGAGCCGCTGCAAAGCTTCTGGAGTTGTGCACTTACTCACGGACTGCACTTCAGCCATGAGGACCATTCAGGGCGGAGGCAAGCATCCCTTGTTGAGTCAGCGGGCTTGTGAGCTTTTTCTGCGTGTTAGAGACCGCATCGATGTGCAACTGTGGTGGCTTCCTTCACATGGGAAACTTGCTCCAGCCAGATGGAGGTGCCCTCCCTGTGGGGAGATGCTTGCTAGAGCTCTAAATGCTCGTGCCGATCGTGCTGCTCGAGCAACTGCTGCCCGCTGCGCAGATGGAAGCGACCGCCAAACTTGTGCTCGCGCAAGAGAAGCCGCACTTGCCTGGGAAAAGCAAGCGCACCACGCCTTACGCTTGGTGGCGCAACGCTGGGCAGACGCTTAGCCTGCCGTGATGTGATGGACCGTCCACGACTTCGGCATCGTGACGGTCGTGATCCTTAAATATCCAAGTAGACGCTTTACCCGAAACTCGAAACCGAAATGAAGCCCCGAATCGGGAATTCTAAGCCCTACCCTGCACCTAACAAACAGGGCCCTTTCTAGCATACGGTTTAGGGTTGAGGGTTTAGTCCTTGCTTGGAGGGTCAGGGGGATTCAGTAACTATGTTAATAACCCCTATAGGCTATGTAATCACCCTAGTTATCCCCATTATTAACCTCCTTACTAAGTCCCCTGACCCTCCAAGTAGGAGGAGTAGTTCAAGGGGCCGTGATGACCAAGTCTTCCCAACAACGCTCACTTCCCAGTACTCCCCAAACCTTCCAAGTGTTCCCTAGGCATCCCTGAAGGATCTGGAGACTCCCCAACCCACCCCATCAACTCGGAACCCCAAACCCCAAACCCCCGCCTAAAACCTTCACCCTCAAGCCCATAGCAACTTACCATTACGTAGACCTTTCGAATTTCCTTAATCTCAGAATTTTGAAGCTCAAAAAAAATTCAAGCTCAGATTGACCCCCACAAACCCTGATTAATGGTAGTAAGCCCCAAACACTAAACCCCAAACCCTAAACCCCAAAACCTAAACCTTGAATCCCTAACCCCCTCCCCTAAAGCCCTCACGTCCCTAAACCCTAAACCCCAAATCCCCTCAACCCCGCCTCGCGAGCCTCCTTGGTCTCACGGGAATCCAAAAACCTCAGCGGTGCAATTCACCAGACCAGGTCTTGAAGGGATGGTTTTGGGGTTTAGGGTTTTAGGGATTTAAGGTTTGGGGGTTTAGGGGTTGAGGGGTTTAGGGTTTAAGGTTTCAGGTTTAGGGTTTAAGGTTTAGGGTGTAGGGTTTAAGGTTCAGAGTTTTGGTTTCAGGGCTTAGGATGATTCAGGGTTCCGGGTAAGTTTAAGGTTCAGGGTTCAGGGTTTAGGGTTCAGGGTTTAAGGTTTAGGGTTTCGGGTTCAGGGTTTAAGGTTTAGGGTTTAAGATGGTTTAAGGTTCAGGAGCCGTCAGAGAGCGATGGCCGTCTCTTAAGTTCAGGTTCAAGGTCAAGGCTCACAGTTGAGGGTTGAGGGGTGGACCTGAAGGTTCAGAGGAACCCTAGACCTCCCAGTTACCCAAATAGAACCCTTCAAGGCTATGTAAGTAAGGTATAAAGAACCCAGTTCCCATTATTTAGGTAACTGGGAGCCCTAGGGAAGCTTGAAAGTACACTAAAAAACACTATAAGCCGCATCGCGACCCCAGATATCCTCATTACAGACTCACCCTGATCCTGCAAGCAGGGTTTGGGTGCGGATGTAGGGCTTAGGGGATTTGAGCGGGGTCGTCACGGACAAGAATTTTGTGTGCAAGGGCCAGAAGCTCCCATTTGGGTGCTTGGCAGTCAAAGGGACATAGGTGCCCATGGGCACGAGGTAAAGCCTGCACACAATCATGTAGAGACCTTTAGGGCATTATGGCTTCTGCGGCTTCTGCAAGCGCTGTTTTTGGTCCTACAGCTCCTGCTGCATCCCCCCATGCCCCCAAGCCCTACCTCTGACAATTTCGGAACATTTTCAGAAAGCGGAATTAAGCCACTGTGGAGAAATTTATCCATCTGAACCACCATTTTGGGTGAGGTCGCTATAATATGTCCGGCTTATGCGACTACATCTCTAGACTCCAGACGTGATGCCCCATAATTTAAAAGAATCTTGTCTTCCAAGACGGGTTCAGACATGCTTGCAAAGAGCGTCCGCCTGGGTTGGTCAAGGTCACATGTTCTTAGCCTTACTGGCTCTTGGTAAGGATTATGGCAATGAGGGAATGTGATCCCTATATAAGTTCCCATATACTATATTCCCTTCTTCCTTACTAAGTTTGGGGTAGAGTTCTTAGCTGGCTCTTTTCCATCCATGCATCTGGAATCCATTTCTAGGTAGGCACTGAAATCGTGGTCTCAGGATTTGGGACTCAGGGCTGGGACAAGAGCGACTGTTTCAAATCGTATGGAAGAACAGGAATGGAAAAAGATTGCGTTAGAGCCTAGACCTACTCCGCCCCTGAAACACTGAACCCAAACCCCGCACTAAACCCCGTGGCTCACAGGACAGGGGGCGAGTTCACCCTGAATCCAAGATACCGTAAACCCTCCTAAAGCCTAAAGCCTAAGGCTAATTGCAGTTCAAGAGACGTCACAGCACGACCCGGAACCTCAGCTGTGCTGGGCTTGAGACACATGGTTTAGGATTTAGGATTTCGGCTTTGATTTGGTAACCTACCAATAGCCCTAAAAATGGGGGAAAACTGTTGACTATCACATGACTGTCACACAGTCAATTTCGGGGTTCGGACTAACCCCAAACTGGGCTGCTGTTAAGGAACTTAATGCAAGTTACTATTGGGGGGGAAACCATATTAATTACATACCCGTTCTGGTAACCTAATTCAAGTTACTTAACAGGAACCCAGCAAACCAAAACCATACAGCCTAACCTCTACATCCAGGCCCGGGGCTTCCCACCGAATGCTACTGTTGATACTCAAAACCTGCATGACCTTAGTATGAATAAGGAGGACCCCCACTCTGTAATTGTGGTACAATAGGAATATAAGAGGACCCTAAAAAATCCCTATTATTCCGTATTGTGACTATTGCTGGGTTGGGGGAGGTCCACCTAAAGTATAAATACTAGAGTTACCATAACTCCCACGGTACTTAGAGGCATGCAGGATGTTTTTGATATCCACCATAGTGGAAGGTTCTATGGGGATTCTATAGGCTTAGGGCTTAGCATTGCAGGCGGGGGGAAGTGCTCAGGTTGCGCTAATGCGTTACAAGTCTACTTGTAGGCTTTCTGCTATAGGATTTACAGGGTTTTAGGGTTTAGGATGACTTAGAAGGTAGGCTAATAACTTACTATGCCTGCAAGCCATATAGTAGCTCCGGTTTTTCTTGGTATTATAGTCCCCCTTAAGTAGATAGAATGTGGGGTCTATGGGGATCTTAGTTTAATATGCCCAAAGCTCTATTCTATCTACTTAAGGGGGACTATGCCCTAAACCCTAAACCCTAATCCCTAAACCCTATATTCTATCTACTTGAGGGGGACTATAACCTACAACTAAGCGCCCCTGACCTTCTAAGTAGGGAAGGCTAAGGTACGTCAACCCCTCTGTCTGCCCTGGACCGGAACCCGCTCCCCAAAACATCGAGCTTAAGGGTTTTAAAGTTTAGGGCCTTGGGTTTGGGTTTAGGGTTTAGGGTTTAAAGTTTAGGGCTTAGGGTTTAGAATTTCTGTTCATCCAGAGGGTTAGCCCTACAGCCTGAACTCTAAAGAGAGCCCAAGCTTTTCAAAACATGTTCAGCACAGCCCTAGGCTCAGGGTTAAGGATCTAAGCTTTCGGTCGTTTAGAGGTTTACTGTGTTCGTGTGAGCCAGAGTCTAAACTCCTAGCATCCCCACTTAACAACCCTATAACACTCCTGTAAGGAGGTTAGACGACATCTTCCATTAATTTTCAGGACATCCTGCAACTTCGGATTAAGGATCTAAGCCTTTGTTTTGTGGGAGGTTTGCTAGGCTCATATTTCGAAAGGTTCAGGATTGAGGATTTTGGGGTCTACCTGGCTTAAAACACATGGGGAAGTCTGAGAATAAGGTACCACTGAGTTTACGGTTTAGGCTTCAGGGTCAAGTCTCCTAGGCGTTTCCACGGAGAACCTTGTGGTTATACTGGGTTTGGGGTATAAGGTTTAGGGTTGATATCATCCACAACGCACAAATCTAACGGTTGCCACGTGGAATGGTAGGTATAGAGCTAATATGATAACCTGACTTGGTTGAAGAATAGGATTTGGAGGCACAGACATGTGTGATAATTTTCGCAAGGAGCAAGGGGCCGTAATATACTAGGGACCCATGGAGGGAGTACATCGTTGACAATCTACCATAGAAAGACGGTATTCTCACACATGCAGGCTTCCCTCTTGCCTTCAGGAAACCCCGGCTACAGGTACCCCACGAAGAAATGCCCCTACCATGATTGTGGAATGTAGTTTATGAAGATGCAAGTGTGAACCTTCATGCTCCGTACATGCCGTGAATACAGGGAGAGAACATTGTAACCCGGGTGAATCCTGAACCCCCAACCCTAAACCCCTGCTTCAGAGCCCATAGAAGCCTCGAAGCAAGTAGGCAGAGACTGCCGATGGACCAACCAAACTTCTACGTCACCCTATCTGAGTGCTTCTCAACAAATAGGGGTCCCTTTTTGGGGATCCCCATGTTGAGCATTCTACCCTAGGTTCAGGTATACAGAGAAACGGTAGATGGGCGCTGGTCCCCCTTAGGTCCACCCAACAAGACACAGAGGCATTCGTTGGTGTTCTGTCGGCACCCCAAAAATTCCTACGCACATGTACCCAAATCACACCCACTCCACCCACTAAGGCGTGGCGTGGCTGAGGACCTCATTACGGGCGGGCTGAGTGTTGAAAGTTACGGATGTATGAGAAATGTCAGAGCAGGCCCTAAATCTCTGACCGCAAAGCTCTGAAAACTGCAATCCCTCAGCCCTAAATCCCTAAAACCTAGATCCCGAAACCCTAAGTCATATGCCAAAGCCCTATAAACACAAACTCTTTACGTCCCCTAACCCCCTGAAGTCTTTACGCGCCCAAAGTGCTCCAGCTCGTCCCGTTCTGCCGATGCGATGGATATGGTCGTCGGGGCCTGGTGGCACACTTTGGAAAATTTCGCAAGAGCTCTGGGAAGTTGAGAATTTGGGGTTTTAGAGTGTAGGGTTTAGGTTGAGAATTTGGTGGTTTTCGGGTTTAGAGTTTAGGGTTCCCAAAGCTCCTGGCTTGGGGGGGTGGGATTTTCGGGCTTGGGGCTCAGGGTCAGAATTCAGGCCCTGAAGCCTCAAACACAGTCGCAAAGTCCTGAACCCTGAGCCCTGGTCCC